TCTTCCTGGTAAATAGACTACATAATTCATTTGAGAACAGTTAATAAAATAAATATTACTTTATTTCAGATAACCTAAGCCTTTCTACTGAGATCACTTTGAAACTATAACCTTCAGTAACTTATGTACTAACCAAGTGACATGATTTCAAACACCCATCCGCTTAAATGCCTTTCAAACCGAAAAAAACACACATTCAACGACTGTTCTTTGACAGGAGCTCATGAATTCCACTTATTCTTTATAATTATAAAACTAAGTTTAATATTCATGTTTATAACCACTATGGTGTTTTAGCAACTGGTATACAGATGAAAGGGATCTAGGAAACACAAAGTAAATCTTGCATTACTTTGCTTTCACTACCTAATACTGCGCAGTTTTTCTATTCGCATATAAAAAAAATTTGTTTATTGCCGATGTTGGATCACTTCATAGCATGCGACTCAATAATTTATTCTTTTCTGATTGATAACACATTCTCTTTCCTCATGGGAAATAATTACAAAACTTCATCGACATTGTGATATCGAAGAAGAAGAAGAAGACAAAGAAGTATCAGGAATAAAGTGACCGGTTAAGAAATAGCCTAATAATACATAGAATTATTATTGATTTTCATTAATTAGCCTACTGGCTTTTCTGCAACTATATATATATATGTGAACAATGGAAGTCAAAAGTTCCATTTACTGTGAACAGGAATAAATAATACAAGACTCCTTATTTGTTAATACCTAATGAATCATAAATTAAATGACACACAGTCCTACGGGAACTAACATTTCCCAGTAATTATTAATTGAATACGTGGTTGTATTCCCCTATTTCATGTTTCTTGAAATGGTCGTTCAACATCACTCTAGTAACACTTTAAAAATACGCGGCAAGAAGAGATTTCTCGGCTTATATTGTTCTTTTTTCCTTTCTTTACATCATTAGAGAAGCTATTGTTTAATATGCAGGCGAAAATTGCTTGCCACCATATAGCATCATGTGATACAATATTTTGTAGTTAGAAATGCTACATAGGCGCATATGTATGATAATCAACAGTCACTTTAAAGAATTGCCTTCAATAAATCTTTTTGTAGAATATACCGTTATAAAGATTAGAGTATTGTCTTACAATATCCGGTCATAATCACAGGAAAAATCATAAAAGTGTCACTGTCATTATGCATCGCTTAATTATTTTTGGTCGTTTGAACATAAGATAATAAAAATCTAGTGTGCACGTAGTTGAATTTGCATTAACGTATATAAAAGTTTCTTGAGATGAGTTATAATCTTTGGGATTAGATTCAGTTTTAAAACACCTTACAGAATAGGATGATAGATGCGGTAAATGACGACTAATACTGGATGCTAAAAGCATTACTATCAAACGTTTAGTGTTGGTGAGTATGTCAGTAACGTAGATTGTGTAAGAAAACTCTTCTGTAGAGGGAGTAATAAGATTACACACCAGCTAATTTTATGAATGATCTAAGTTCCTACTCCTACAGGTTTCCATGGCTTCAGTAATGCAGTTGCAGTTCCTATACGTTCTGAGCTTCAGGCTTGAACTTTGAAGTTTCGATAGAAGTTGGGGCTTCTAACCTCACGACCAACTTTCCCTCTTTACTCGACTTACTTCAGGCTAAGTAGGGTTTAGGAGTGCGTCGGCCAGGGATTGAACCCCGGACGACTTACATGGTTGGCAAGCGATCAACCGCTGAATCACCGATGCCTTCATTGATTAGCTTACTTCATTTATTACTCAAGCTATCACATTTTCACAGATATGTGGGGACAAGTTTCTCCGGATACCTGATCGTGGCATTTAAATTTACACAGATACAGAAATGTATCTACAATCAGTAATTTATCTTTGATGCGTAGAGTCAGTACTGACCTAATTCAATAAGTATGAGTATGTTAAACACATTGTATTATAATGCTTATTTTAAACATATAATTCTTTACAGAACCTCTTACATGGCTACTTTGTCACAAACTTCTGTCCTGTTTGTTTTACATTTGACCGGCTTTGAATATCAAGTTGGAATTTTTAGTTTATTTTGTTCGCAGGCAGTAGTGAAAAACCGTAAAACATTCTGAAACTGAATGGATCACAAGCATAAATTCAAATGTTATTTCTGTCATAAATCATTACACTTTAACACAGTTTTTAAAAATTATTTGTCAAGAAAGATGTATAATGCTGTAGTAACAGACCCACTTCACAAATAAAATATACTGATTAACACAAGGGTAACTTCTATGAACGGTAGGGCAAACGAAGTGAATGATAACATATTCAAAATGTTGCGGGACAATCTTGAATAGTTAATTTCTTTTTTTTTGAAAACATGAGTTTAACATAACCGACCGGAAACATTAACCCTCAGAGAACCAGAGTTTCACGTTCACCTACAGCCAGATATATTTGCTTGCTTAGCATAAATCACGAGGTCAAGCGAATAAATCAACTTAAAAAAATATTCTGTTTGGTCCCAATAGAATAAATGACTTTTTAAATTGCAGTTTGACGAATAAATTTGTTCATTCAACTTGTAGTTTTTAAAAGTTTATTCTGTCATACATTAGGACAGTTGACTGTGTTGTCCACTTTTTCTTATGTGTGTATATTTCTGCGATGTGTATTTCATTTGTTAAGAAATTATCGTAATAATTAGTCATTCATGAAATTGTCAAGTATTTCTAACAAAACTTTAAAACAGAGTTACAATAAACAAATTAGAGGTCAATAGCTTGCTATGATTTATGAAAACAATTTAAGTATCAGATGTCCTAATGTCATATAAGGACTGTGCAAGCTAATAAAGATAAATTCGTTTGACTTAAAATGCTAATATTTATTAAATTATTTTCAAAGTTTTGTCCTATTACTGAACTAATTGCATAATAAGAAATGATCAGGCTGGTCCTGTGTTCTTAATCTTTTCAATCCTTTGCATTCGGAGTGAAACATGGGGCTCCAAACTTGAGCTTTAAAGTTTTAGTGGAGGAGTTATTGTACTCATTAGGTGTGACTGCTAGCTCCCTTTCCAACCTTCTCTCTACCGAATTTACTGTCAGCTAAATCAGGTTTAGAAGTGCTTGTAATCGAACTTTGACCACATGCACTATGAGGGGTCATTCTAACAGTGAACCAATGATTCACACGCACACACACATCCTCTTCACAGAGTCGATCAAATGGGAGATAAAAATTGAAATCACCATTTCATGTGTTTCGAAAAGATTTGTGAATGCACTCTTCTTCTGCACTTTGTTCAAGCAATAATTATATCGTTCATACATAGTAAACATTATAATCAGTTTAATATGAAGCTAACATGTGTGTGGGTGGGTGGGTGGTGGGAAATGCAGGTTTATGGGCAATAGCGGAGTCAGCTAAGAAGGATTGAAGATAACAGGATGAAATGAAATGAGTCACTAAAGCCCATGTTCCATTAGTACGCAAAATAAATAATAATAACCCCGTAAATACTTTCCCACCTCCTTAAAATCCTAAATCCTTTTCAGCATCAAATGTGCAGACATAGTTGAGTCTTGAAGTGGTATGAATAAGATATATTAGCAATGAGCTGCAGTCATAGCCCACTACAATTTTTCGCTTTATAAAAGAAATATCTACTTATCCAGTAGTATTTTACCTCATGAGGTTGAAATATACTGATCAGGACACTCACAGAAACCAATAGTTTGTTGATAGCATCTGAAGTTTATATATTCAAGTGTGAAATATATTCTTAAAATAAGAGATAAGACTTTAGTTGTGAAGTTGTACTGTTTCATTCATATTTAGTATTTATTTTATATCTGAATGCAAGGAAATTTATTTCCATTTACGTGAGTAACAGACATATATATCCTAAGAGTGTCAGGTTTTCACACGATTTAGGTATATAATTTCAGAGTGAACTCTCGAGCAAAATCCAAATTATGTGGAAGTATTATGTAATACGGTGCGTCGGTGGCGTAGCGGTTAGGACGCTCGCCAACCATGCACATGGTCCGGCATTCAATCCCCGGCCGACGCACTCCTTTACCTCGCTAAGCCAGAAATAATGCTAGTGAAGAGGAAAGGTTGCGCATGAGGCTAGCAACCCCATCCTGTAAAAATAAACACTGCTACAGAAACTTCAAGCCACTAGCCTGAAGCCTTATGTTCCACTGGGGAACGTGAAGGAAAAAGTAAATTATGTAATACGGCAGATATGCTGGTTTTACAAAATGATTGAATAAATTTCAATTAAAGTAAAAGTATACCTTAACAAGCAGAAGAGATACTGAGTAAAAGTAAAAACCCTATAAACCTAATATGCGTCATATAATATCTAGTTGAGGATGATAATGACGATATTAATAATAATAATTAAGCAAGACAATTTGTTTTTTGTTATCTAAATACGACGGTAATTCAAAATTGCCGCTTCATTAATTCTATTTCACACTAAGCCTAAATAGCATTTTGTCTGTTTTAAACTACGTAAATATTCCGTAAAAAAAATCAAATAAAATTTATTATTCCGTTGAATTGTGAATAAATGTATTAGCTAGTTGAATAATCAACTATGGGTAGTATTCCGCTTCTTTTAATCTAAGTATGGCTATAGAGTGTTATCACACAAACATTATGTGCATCAAATATACCCTAGTGAATTGCTTTCATTCAACTTCCGTAATTCATTCCATACATAAATAACACTGTAATACGTCCTCTTATCATAAATACAAACATAAAAGAGGATCACTTCTGTGAAAATAGCATAAAGATGTTCCTCTAACTGAGCACTAAAAGACATTGAAAAATAAATAAGGCATTCACAGTCATATGTCTGAATATACTTTATAGGGTTACCTTTAAATATAGTTGTTTACATATTATGAAATATAATTTAGGAATTCAATAACATTAAAATAAACTCCTGCTAATCAAAATTTGTATTCTGATGAAAGCAGAAATAGCCTCTGTGATTTGTACTCACCTAATATAGAGTTAAAGGTTGCATTGTTTTGAAATAAATTCTTTATTCCATCATGTGAAATCGCATCGCTAATGTTAATGTCTTATGATAGATTTATTATAAATTCAAACAATACTCATAATACTTCTGAGTGAATTTGACATACATAATATATTTTCAGAATGGGAAAAATTACTGATTGGTTTAGACTTTTGTCAGAGTCTGATTGGATAATCCCCTCCTAAGTGAATGTAATTTACTTATCGTGTGACATTCAAATTGAATAATAATAATAATCCCAATTATAATTATGATATTATCATATTGAACAAAATATTGTCCTTAAAATGATTTTATGTAACAAGTAAATAAATTGTTGATACATGTAAATTATCGAGTGTTAGTTTGCTGGGATTTGATTGGCTACATGAGGTGACATCATTTGGAGAACCTGGAAGTACTGGGCAACCACTTTAACATGGCACACCCACCGAAGCTCAAACTCAGGGTTTGCCAGTTACAAAGTAGCCTCGTAGACCATTCATCCAATGGGACCCTACTCAATTGCCCATGTATCCGAACTTCTGCCAATACGCGATATATAGCGCAACTACCAGTCATAGGTGGGTGAATGTTCTCTCACATGACTTGGTGGACTCCGCTGGGTACGACTTCTCACTAGAGTTACAGGTAACTTCCTCTATGGAATTAGTCGCTAGTCAGCATCAGATTAACTGTTAAGTTTTGGCCACAATATGATGCCAAGTATCTGTTGTGCTCGTCAGGACGTTAAAAGGAAAAAATACATTTCCCTTCTTGATGAATATCTATTTGAATGCAGACGCCAACTTCACATTGTCCTTTTTGGAAGGGACAGTGGTTTTCTGCTATTTAAACTATTTATTCCCAGGAAACGGGGGAAAATTTCACGCTTTTATACACAAAGCTTTCACTTTGCCGTTGTATTCAGTACATTTTCTGCTTCATTCTGTCATTAGGAAGTCGGGAACAAAGGTTATGCATTGGTATAAAACTACAACACCTAGGGCTAAGAGTGAGTATCCAGCTATACGCACACCAACTACAAGAAATTTTCTTATTCCTTTCTTCGTTTTCAGAATATGAATCCCCTTAAAATAGTCTCACTGTGGCCGTCCTTATAAACGAAGCAGTGCCTGAGCATGTAAGTAGTTTATTAAATCAGTTATAACTGTATTCTGTGGTGATATACAGGAAGAAAAACACTATGGACAACAGGAAGCAACAAACCAACTCAAAATAAGCGCTAATACTATAAAGTTGAAGACAAATTATAAATATATCGGCATTATTTTTCAAGTATTGGTTTTGTAGGGATTTTGGTGCGTACTGTGAAGAGTCCCGGACTAGGACGAAGCAGATGTCCAGTGCTCACAGGCTTTTCAGTGGTTTACTAACTGATGTCAGCTAATGATGAAATCCTCCTGTAACAACAGAAGACAAGGGCCAGGCAACAGATCAGTTTTATTACGAAAACCAACAGGTATTTATATGTATTTTACGTACATTAATAAGGCTCTGCCCGCAGAAAGAAGGCGGTCTTCTGATTGGTTGTTTGCAAACAAACGCAGTCTTCTGCTTTCTCGTTTTCGATATTTCTCGGAAATGCGAGCCACTTGTCTGCGAATCATATTTGTCCACGTCTAGGTCAGCTGTGATCGGTCGTTGAATCAGCCTAGATTAATTTCTACCAATCAGCGTAGATCAATGCCTACCAATTGGCTAGCAGCTTGCTCTCACCACACTCCAACCAATATCTGCATTAATACAATGATTTCTGAACTCCTTTTTCAAAGTATCCAACTGTAAGCTTCAAGTATTATGTTAAACCCAAATAGACAATGTACATTACTTGGTTGACATCAGTAGCCCATGAATTTTTCATCCAGTAAATTTCCCACAGTCTTATAAAATCATGTATGCACAATTGTGTATATAACAGTCTGCATATGCATAACTTTTATAGAGGTAAACGGAATTCTAGAGATTGGAAATTGTGATGGATACCGCTGAGTAAACACATCCCGTAAAATAGCTAAATAATTGGCTGTAATGAGAAAATGAAGGTTTGAGGACTGCACATTAAGTAATATGAACTTAACACGCATTCACTGGCTTTTAATTAAAGCCAGTACCACCAGACTATTCGACTGACTAACTCAAAAGTTACCTTTAGGTGACTAGGAAAAACCAATGCTGCTTCCATTTCGTATACACACTTCAGAATCAAGAAAAGAATGCAAGATTTTTAACACCCTATGGTTCTGGAAAATTTACTGGTCAAGATGTCCCCTTTGTGTTATGTCGGCGACAACATAACAATACCAATGATTTGTCGGGTTCGATTCTAATTCTGACTTGAAAAGCCCAAGAATATGAAGAAAGATAACTGGTGGCGGTGAGAACAATTCTCTTTTTTATGCAAAATCACATTGTATACAAATATTATGTACTTTGAAGAGTCGAACTGAGAAACAGCCATTTATAATGGTTGCATAAAGTCAGGTTCCTAGGTTGTACAATCTCATTGTAATAAATAATCTGCCTTAGCCCAATGGTTTTGTGGTGACAGCTGTCTACTAGCCAAATTGGTAGACAGTAATTTACGTCAATGTTTACGTTCTCAAGATTTGTCGTGAGAAAATATGAACAAAGACTGATTCAAAACCGACCACAGCAGACTTTGCGTAGGGGGATACAGTTAACATATAGATGATCTGGCATTCAAGAAACAGTCGCAAAGAGATTAAAGTTTGACTTTAAGTGAGAAACAACCAATCAGAAGACTGTGTTTGTTTGCTTAACTAATCTATAATAATGTACATGAAAATATATAAATATGCTTTGATTTCCTTAATAAACGATCTGTTGCCTGGCCCTTGTCTTCTGTTGTTACAGTTTAATTTGTCCAAACTAGTGTAAGCCGGTCTAAGCCTGTTTTATCCGCTTATCGTCACTTTGTCATTGTTACAGGGGGATATGTATCGTTTACGGACTTCTGGTAAAACCATTGAATAACACCGATGAGACAAAATCATCTAAGTTTCATAAACCAAATGAAAGCTGGATCAAATTAACTAATAATTCCGACGCAACACTTTCAAATACTTCGTAAAGGTATTACTCCCGTTGAACTTGAACATACCAAAAGAAGGAAATAAAGCTAGACAATATGAAACTTTTCATTTTGTTGATTCTTGTCAGCTGCATACAACCTGAAACCATTTGTATATCAAAACGCAAAATATTCATGTACTTCCAATAGTTAACTTGAAGTAGGACATTAGTATTACGTGATTAACCTCGTGAAAAGATGAAAAGAAAGACTGACATATGTGTATATATATATATACATATGAAAAGTTAAAATATATTCTAGAGGTGTCAGAGGAAGTTGAACACTAGCTAGAAGTGCATAGTTGAAAAAGCCTATTACGTAACAGATAATATAATCTGAATAAATCTGAGCGATTAAAGTAAGTCGAGTAGATATCAAAAAGCCAGGTGGGGTATATGAGTGAAAGCAGAAATGACACTGTCTAAAATAAATGTGATTAAAGTAAAGCAAATAGCAAATGTTATCAAACCATGATTGAATGAATTCATCTCAATTTGGTAGAACCCTTCAGCGGATCACTCTACACACAGTGATATATATATATATATTTACATCACTGTTTTAAATTCGTATCGGGAAATGGCTCCAATAATTAAAGTAACTACAATTAAAACAATAAGGTGAAGCTTTTACCATAGTAGGGAAAAATTAGCAACAGAATGTTTCTTCTGAATCCACAGGTTCGGCTTCATTTGTGTGATAGCTTTCACTATAGGGAAATGTAACACACTAGGGATAACTTTTACTTTAATTGTGGTCGTCATCTATTAGGTGATGGACGATAGCAGTGTTAAAGATATTCATACCTTTTAGCTGCAATAGTTTGGAATATGCTCAGCTTTGTGATCAGAAATAGTTCTTTATGTTCATTTGCTGTATGTGCTAACTAATAATATGTAAACTGGTAGTTGCAGCTGGAGTTAACATGAAAGAAGAATTCGTCAACCTTTGATTGTTTCGTTGAGGAGATTACCCAGTAATGTTTACCCAGCCTGATGTCTAGATAACTTTTCTTCAGTGAAGAACTCATTTGGTTTTTATAGACTCTTTGTCAGCTTCAAATCTAAGTCTTAGAAAGATCTAACGAATCTACGTTTAAGTAAACTTTAGGTAGAAATATCTTCACTTAGTTTCAAATTTCACACTACATAAAAATCGACTCAAATGTCTAAAATAAAAGATTATTTAGTTATTTAACTTAATGTTAGTTTCTTTAGCGTATGATATTCTAACATTGACCTTTAGCAAACTTCAACAGTTATTCTTGTCACCTTTTCCATGTCTGCATTCACACCCATCGTGCTGTTTGCTTTCCGCCTTACACTTAAATACGAAAGTAGTGTTAGTTCTCTAATAAGACCTGGCTTCAGTAATTCATTTTACTGAAAACATGATATCATATAATCCACCACAGCATCTACTACAGTCCTAGAGGTGATCAGTCACAGTCCCAACAAATCATTCAGAACATCCATGATGGCAGTACTGCATTCGCAGTTAGTGTTAGCGTAAAACTGGTAGTTATCGAAGTGTGGTTGTAGCAAACATTTATAATTATAGGCTTGGTGGATTTTATGTCTCACAGTACTACTTAAAAGCAGGTGTATACATATATGGCTCCTATTATAATGAAAGCATGGGCATGTATAACCTTTCATTTTTGAACACTTTAAACCAGTTTAACAGCAGTCAGTTGTTTGGTGGGTAGATACTATAAAAAGACATTTGAATTTCTGATGACCTTCGTCAGTTTTAACAACATCATTTAGTCGATCAGTAAGCGTACAACTAAGACCTCACCAAGTAGTACTGTCTTTACTAAAGGACCTAATCAAACTTGCAAGACCTCTACTTCAAGTCATACACCCAATAACACCTTCTGTAAAGCTAATTTTTTTGTGAACAAACTTATTGTCACCCATTGACCATCACAATTTAATCTAGACTACTCAATTTCCAGAATTATTTTCTGTTAATCCCTCCTTTGTGGAATGAACACACAGCACA